ACTAGGTGCAGCACACAGTACAGAAGTCGAGGCAGGCGCGCTGCAGGCACTGTTTTTACTTATAGGAGGGAGAGAGAATGGAGTTGATACTGCTGGAGGCTGAGTCGTTGGGGTTAGGTTGGGACGCCTGGCTCGCTTCTTCGGCCTGACTAGTGAGTTCGGGGTGTTATTTTCACTCACAAGTGCAGGTCCGTTTCCTCCCATGGGTGTAACTCTGGCGCTCAGCAGTTGCTCGACCGCTTCGGTTAATCTTTCACACCTCTTCAGTAGCACAGATAGACAGCTAACAAATGGAATAGACTTGCATACTTGGCAGAACCAAGGCGACTCTGCGGTGTGTGCTTCTGTCGACTTCTTCCCAAGGCAGGTAGTGTGATAGGTTTTCAAGCACATGGTACATACCAGACCATTTTTCACCACTTTAGCACATGATTCGCATTTGCTTTTCACACGAGACATGTTCTCAGTAGGGGTAGGAAGTGGATGGAGATACTGACGCACCGCTGCGTGGCGATCGGCGCTGGTTTGAGGTCAGCAGGTCCAGGCGATGTGCGTGCTATCGATCCAGACGGGTAGACAGCGATGCGAGACAAAGCGACTGAGGCAAAGCAAGGTGACTTGGAAAATGCTGTCTAGTGACGACAGTGGCAGTTCCAAATGCAGAGCAAATTGACGACTATGGCTTTGTAGAGTGACTTGAAGGAATGGTAGTAAGCTGATCGGGTGACTCTCAAAAAGATCTTTAAAATAAGACCACAAGAGTTCTTATGCGACGAGAGGAAAAATAAAACATCCGATAAGCTTCAAATACGGTTGACTTCGAAGTTCCAAGAGCACAGTTTGTTGGTGATCCGTGAATGATAGATCCAATAGATGAACAGTGGTAGGAGGAGCTCGCGGAGCCAAATCGAATGATGGCACGTAGGTCTCTGTGAGAATAAATCCAAAGATTTGGAGGCGAATAACGCAGGAGGACAGTTTTTTGCGACCGCACTGTCTGAGTATGACACAGCCCTGCTACACATCAGAGACAACTGCAAAGTCATCTGAGGTCTCTCCACTCAGCTGCACCCTCGCTCGCATACCAACGTGCAGACATTCAATTAAACTTACAAACTTACGCGGGCAACCAAACTTACCCAACACCAGCCACAATGCCTCGCGGTTCACCGTATCAAATGCTTTGGTGAAATCAAAAAAGGTGAGTACAATGGCTGGTGTCGTTCTCTGCACTTCTCCTGCAACTGACGAGCCGCAAACACCATATCTATAGTGCTGCGACCCGAACGGAATCCCCACTGCTTTTCCGTCACGTTATGTTCCACAACCTGGCTGACGAGGCGGTTGAGCATGATTCGGGCAATCACCTTACTCACACAACTCAGCAAGTTGATGCCACGATAATTCGTGCAACATTGACTGCACCCTTTACCCTTGTACAGTGGTAGCACAAGGGCATCCTTCAGCTCGGCAGGCACCTCCTCCTCAATCCATACACGTTACACCAACTGGTGCAGCGCAGTCAACAACGCGGGTCCGCCGTGTTTCAATACTTCAGGCGGGATCCCGTCTGCTCCGGCAAACTTACCGTTTCGCAGCTGAGCAAGTGCTCTCAGCGTCTCATCCAGCGTCGCGTGTCCGCCAGAGTCGTCTTCACATCGTGCTGCTTCAGGCAGTTTAATGTAAAGCAGTCGATCTCTGAACGGTTATGCAGGAGACAGTCACAGTGTTTCCGCCAGATCTGCATTATGTCTGCAGTCTGTGTGCAAGTAGCGCCTGAACTAACATCAATCGGCCTCCTCAGCGGCTCCAATCTCGGTCCATATACCGCCTTCAAGGAGTCAAGGAATTCCTTGTGTTGGCGAAGTTCGGCGTAGCATTCCAACTGCTTCATCTTCTCCGTCCACCATGAATTTTTTTATGCGACGGAGCTCTCGGGTCAGTCGCCGTCGAAGTTTGCGAAACTGACTATTCGTGCCCAAGTCACTGGGGTCTGCCACATGTGCAGCAAATGCTACATTCTTCTCCGACACCAATGCGCCAATCGTCGCATTGTTCTCATCAAAGCAATCAGGCCGCTTACAGTTTGCGCGCCCGATGGCCTCCTCGGCAGCAACTGTCACCTGGTCGCGAATGTGATGTCACAGGTCGCCCACTGTGGCTATGCAGTCCACATCACACAAGCGTGCAGCCATCGCCTTCTCCAGCTCAATACCTTTCGCCCCAGTACCGAGGGAGAGTATGGTAAATTTACGCCGATTCGCGGTGTGAGTGCAATACGTCGATTTACGAACATATATGTACAATTAGGTCCTCATCAATTTGTGATCTGTGCCACACTCAGCTCCACGCAGTACACGTGCCATGCGCACTTCACGCATATCACGCCGACGTACGATGACATAGTCGAGAAGGTGGGCGTGACCACTCCGTGGGTGCGTCCAAGTTGCTATATCACTCGCACTCGGTGCAAACCGAGTGTTCGTGATCGTCAGACCGTGAGTGGCACACAGTGAGAGCAGCCTGTCACCGTTCGTATTCGCTGAACCAATGCTATGCGAACCGATAACATCTGTCCACACCGATGCATCACGCGCAACGCGTGCGTTGAAATCACCCAGCGGAAATAGTCGGTCGCTCCTCGGCACAGACCGTGTTACGGAGGATAGTTGAGTTTAGAATTGATCACGCATGTCATCAGGATAACGTATGATCGGACCGTACGTGCTTATACAAGTAGCAAACTTACCTCTTCCGAGTCGTAGACGAACGGTCATCAGGCGCGCGCTGATGCCTGTTGGTTCACCCACCAGCTGGCCATGGAGGCGATCGGATGTTGCAAATCCGACCCCACGATCACGTGGTGCTGAGGCGGCGTTGCCCACCCAGTAGAATGTGTAGCCAACACCTGCTTCATGCAACTTACTTAGCTCAGCGAGCCGGGTTTCACTGAGCGCCGCAAAATCGATGTGGTAGTGCGCCAGCTACATTGCGACCAGTGCGGTGCGTCGCTCGGGGCGCTCGCTGGAGTTCCGGTCCAGCAGTGTGCGCACGTTCCAGCATCCGATGCTGAATGCTTTGCGCGCAGGCATACGATTGCTTTGGTAGGCAATCGCACGCGAGGTGGTCGTTGTGTCACGGTTTGCTTGAGGGACTCCGCCCAGAGCCTTTGGCTCAATAGCCTTACCCACAAGGCAGTGGGTGATTTGGAGACTTTGTTTGAGGGACTCTGCCCTGAGCCCCCGGCTCAATAGCCGAAACCACAAGGCAGTGGTGAGCAGATCCAGCTCGGGAATGTGACTGCAGAGACAGATTGGGATCTGCTTGACGGCCGTCACACGCAGCCTTTGAGAGTCTGGAATTATTCATATATGTTTTGTGACCGTAATAGGATACACTTGCGACCATGGCCAGACGCAGGTGGGTTTTGGCTGGTTTGCACCAATTTGACCAAGGGCTGCCTGGCTTGAGGCGGGCAGTAGCAAACCATTAACCCCCCGGAGGTGCCCTCCCACCGTCAGAGACAATGCGTGGCGCTCCTGCTCTATGCCAATCGAGCTGTGAGCTTATAACCCGTAGATCTGTTGTCTCCCATGGCTAGCTTTTACGGGAAGAGGGCCATCGACCACTTCCTAACCTCCGAAGAGGATGGACTAGGGTCCTAGCAGGGCGCCCACACATCTGACAGGAGAACGACTCGGGTCCTCAGCCAAAGCCCTCGATTCAATGTACATCCGAAAAGCAGCAGGTCTAGCACATGATCAGTTCACTGACTCATGCGGATTGGTGTCCTCGATCTAAGCAGGGAGAAGGGCGAAACGCAACTCACATCCAGTGGTCGCCACGAGGAGGCGCCCAGGACATAAGCAAATGGCACAACAGTGGCAGCAGTGGATAGACCATCTGTCAGGATCTAGCCACCACCAGCCTCAAAGCACCAGGAGCTCTCCCGCCATATATATATATATATATATATATATATATATATATATACGATGTTTTCCTCCGAAAACGTAACACAAATGGCAACCGTCTGGCTGTCACATGCTAGCGCCTGCATACCCCAAAATCAGAAAACTTTCATCCCTTTTTGACTATTTGCCTTCACATTTTGGCTAGGCTAACGTTTCGTTTTGTCGCAGCTGCATCACTCTGCCCAGTTATTCTTGGAGGCACCGACAAACGCGTACCAGTTTTATTTATTGGCCTTTCAACCAAGAACTTCTCTGTTCTCTTTGACTACGGCTCACTGCCGCTCCTCGCTGGCGATCCGATCTCAGCTGCTTCAGCGGGGATCGCTTTGTTCCATCTGATATCCATTATTGGCTGTTCCCATTTTCTCTGTTTTTGTTGCTTTCTCGTATTCTGTGGAATTGTTCTTTTCCACCTCTTTACAATATCAGTCCAATACAGCCAACGCATTTTCCAGTAGGGACTAGTTAAGGACTACTGCACAGATCAACTCCCAATTGGATGGACCTGGTGGGTACAAGGTCCAACTTATAAACAAATAAGAGGAGGACAGACTCAAACGACATTTAACAAGAATCCAGCCTGTGTCAGTGTAACTGGTCTGACGGTATAGAGCGCAGAACCAAGAGGGTGCATGTGTGTGAAACACACAGGTCCCAAGAGACGTAGTTAGATGTTCAAGGATATCAGATTTCCAAGCTTTACTCAGACTGCCTCAATTATTAAACAGCAACACTATATAAACGTGTTGCGAAAGCGAAAAGTGAAATGAGCGCGGAGAAGATAAAAATAAAGGTACAGCAATAGAAGGAAAGGGAAGGCAGAAACATTTTGCAAGCAGAAAGGCTGGAGGAACTGCACAAAAGTTCACCCTACTGAGGATGTGGTGAAGTGACGCGGTAGGCCCTGAATAGAGGGTATTCTTCGGGACAGCACTTAGATCATTGTGTCACCAAATCATTGGAAGCGAACTCTAGTGCTAACACTGGTTACTGTGTTGAATACAAGGGCAGTCAACCATCAAGCGAGGACAAACATCGAACACATTTGAATCGCAAACGACTGAAATAGAAAAGAAGCGAATTACCTGACCTCTAACGATTGATCGAAATTCGATATATCTATGCCACATGGACAACACGCTCGCAAACTTGCGTCGTTGCACTCAGACTGTTACGTGACTGCAAATGGACGGTGGCGAAACATCGCACTTAGCTATTACTTGGGTACTCACTCGACTAAACTGGGGATCATGTTTCGCGGCATGACGTTTACCTTGTTCACTTGGAGGTTGTTTGTTTTGTTCATTTTTCTACAACCATATGCTGTTCACGCTCTGATACCCATTGATTGCGCAGAAAATGTAACTCGTTCTGATCAAGTTTGCTGTCCCCGCAATCCGCAAAATGGCCTCGTTTGTGGAGGTCCAAGAAGAGGTTACTGCCAGAGGATTCACGCACCTCAGGAGAACGTGCCGAACGTTTTCTGGGTGGACGATCGTCTGGCCTGGCCCACTCGATTTGTTCAATACGCTTGCCAATGTCAGCCACGAATGTTTGGCGTATCCTGTGAGCAATGCTGGTTCGGATGGACGGGATCAGACTGCACAAGACGAGAAAAAAAGATTCGGCGTGATATTCGTACATACAGTAACAAAGAATTAGAGGTTTTCAAGGATGTGGTCGCCAGGAGCTGGACATGGCCGTCTAACTTTCTGATTCTGGATGAGTCGAAAAATCAATACTCAGACCCAATCCAGCGTCCACGTTTCCTTCGTGCAAGCATGCAGTATTATATTACATTTGTACATTGCTACAGTGCCAGAGGTACGCTATATGATACCAAGGAACAATGTAACGAATATTCCATCCTCAATTTCAATCATGACGGGGTCACATTCCCCACTTGGCACCGTTACAACAGCCTTATTTGGGAACGCTTACTGGGTGAAATTGCTTGGCAAGTGCACAGAGTAAAGGATTTCACCATCCCATACTGGGATTGGGTCGGTCTGGAAAAATGTGACATCTGCACCAATCAGTATCTCGGCGCCCCCGGAGAGGTAGATAAATTCGGGACCCGTGTTCACTCCCGGTCGCCGTTTCACAATTTAACCGACTATTGCTGGGAACTGGTGCCAGAAGCCATCTGCTCCGGGTGTCAAAAGTGGGGGAAAGCTGGAAAGCTTACTAGGCGCTTCCACACGGAACTGTTCCCAACGCAGAAAGATATTGAATTTGCACTCAGCCTTAGAAAGTAAGCGGTTTTTGTTTTACTCATATTACTCAAGTACAGAAACCAAGCTAGCTGGTAGAGTTATGCTAGAGTGAGAAGGAATAACAGACGTAGCAAATAAACACAAAGTCGTTGTCCACTGCTGATGCCTCAGTGACGAAGTTGTTTGTCTATTCGACCACCATGAAATCTGCTCCGTTCAGAAGCATCTGTCGCTATTGGCTAGCGATTGTCGCTCAGCTAAATGTCGGGTCCGACCGCACTCCTAGTGGCGTTTATACGCGGTACGTAGGTAAATATGCAATTTAGAGAACAGAGGCAAATGCCCTACCCACAAACTCAACGTTACATTACTCCGCTTGTCTAGAAAGCGCATTTTTAGCCCAGTGAAGTAGCGGCAACCGGCAAAAATAAATAAATGATAAATAGCGCAAACAGTAGGCAGTTAGCAAGTGTTTTGGAGGTGCATAACTCTCCTTGGTTCAGCAACTCTCTATTTGTTTGTTTATTCAGCTACTTCGTCCTCGGAGAACGTGATTCAAACACGTGCAGATCATTTCACATGGCGTTGGAAGGATTCTGTGGTCCCCCTGGTACGGCGCCTACTGGCTTGTGGACGCACAACAAAGTGCACAATATGATCCAAGGCAGTATGCAAAGCACAGCCACCGCAACCAATGATCCATTGTTCATTCTGCATCATGCCACGGTGGACAAGATATTTTCGGTAAGTAGACTGTGAATGAGAGGCGTAGGGATAGACAGGAGGACGTACATCTTAGTGTGGGTGGTTGTTGGACGCAAAGATGTGGTAAACAAGTTCCGAGTACAGCGCTAACATGTGTTGTTCAACTGTGTCATGGGGTAACTGGGATTGGTGAGCAACATCTCGCCTCTGACGAATTACCCTACGGTTTGCACAACAGCAGCCGTAAGCTAAAGGGGAAATTGCTGCGCACTCTTGCGACTAACGCAGTTCCCTGCGTCACCTGTGACAAAAGGCTCGAGTATGCGCCTCGAAACAGTAATGGCACCGGTTCGGATCCAGTCCGGTTGAGGGAGGTACGTAGGTAATATGTTTCGGAAAAAGCAAGTGGCGGTTTGATACCCTGCTGGACGCGTGTAGACTATCAGATTTGTCTGATCATTGTTTTTGCCAAGTAATTGGGATGATCTTGAAGAAATGTCTACTACTGCTACTGTAGTTTAGAGGTTTCCTGGCGCTCGCAGGGCATGGCGATCATGAATGGCCTTTCGCGCATCACCAGTCCGCTGGTGACGATGCACGAATATTTGCAAGTGCTGAACCGAGTGAATTCAGTCGACTTAATTTACACGGAGTTCAGAAAAACGTTCGAGAAAGTGAAGCATGAGGTCATCCAATACAGGCTGAAATTGGGCCACTGCCAATTCCTTATATGACGAAATTCGAGGGTACAGTTCGACGACCGTCTGGTAGAATGGCAACCCTCGACCAGTGGCACACCCCAAGATACAGCTTTGGGCCCGTTCTGTTCTTGGTGTAACCTAACGAAGTACCCCACCTTCTTTGGTCACCTTGCGTTTTTTGCAGATGACCTGCCAATCTGAAGAGTAACATGCTCTTGATGACTGTGATGTACTTCAGCACGACGTAAGCCGTATCTCCTTTTGATCTGCAGCGATCAATTCCATGCGCAGTCCAGTCAAGTGGTTATTTATTGATCTGCGGAAGAGTTGTGACAGACATATGCATACTCAGACCTACCAGCTACTGTAACTCACATCTTTTGTTCAAAACCTGGATATACTCTCATACCGCGGTTCTAAGTCTTTGGACAAATAGAGTAGGCTATGCCCAGACGTAGTCCATAGGCTTTGCGCGCTTAGATGCAATTTCTGCGCTTGACCTGAAGTGTTTGTCACTCGCTTCTTCTCCTTCATTCTATCGTCCGACCATCCGTGGCCACGCTAAAATACATGGACGTGCTCAGTGTTTTCCTACTATGCTCCTACAAATTTGACGTGGTGCACATCTTACTAAGACCGATGCAGGTGGTTAGGGATGTAAACCATCTCAGATCGTTTGTTTCGAGTGAAGTTCATAATGCCTCACTGGAAATTACTTCTGGGTGACTTCTCATTGTGAGGCCGTTGCTCCATATGTACGCACCAAGCAGCACAGACGGACCAACCCAGCAATTCGCAACGGATAGCTCATTGTCTACGCCTCTAGAGTCAAGTGCCGAGACAAAATCAGTGCCAGAATTCAAAAAATTCCCTGACGCGCGCCTTGTGGATTGCTGATTTGGGGAACGCATCGCACCTGAATAGGACCTTGTACAGCTGTAGTAAGTTGTAGATGTGCGGGAATCAATGACATTATCCACCGTGTCTGTCAGGTCAAAAACGGTATACATTACTGCCCGGACTCGAATTAGGAATGGGATTACTTTCGGGTGAACAAACTCTCGGACCGAAGTATGACACAGATATTATCCTAATTTGTAATAGCTTTTAAACATCCCAAGTAATGCTGAACGAATTGGCACCGCCAGTCCGTCTTTTCAGACTAAGCTCTGCACCGTCAAAACGCAAAGCTATCCTCCGGATCTAGCAGCAACCAACCCCTTTTTTATGAATCAGCTAGAAGTCGTTTAGAAAAGTAACTGTCTAGGTAGCTGTATCAAGACTTGTGGGATTAAATTTTAAGTCACAAACCGCATGCTAACTACAGTAAAATGGGAACAACCAGCGCGGTGGAACTTTGATATTCTGAATTGATGCATCACTCCCGTACATCCAGTGACTTAAAGGGCACTGTTACTATTCCTCTGTTTTTATGGCTCCGGTAGACATAACGCTGCTCTGAAGCGTGAAGTCTAAAACCTGTTGTCTGCGTAACCCTACTGTAAGATGAAGAAACCCGGCTCAACAGATTGAGAGAAGTAAAGATAATAATCGTGTTCGATTACTGGTGTCCTCGCAGTTTGGCTCACGTGAGCAATGAGCGTGTTTTCCGCCTTGTTGGCGCAGGAAAAGCAAGTTAGCCAATCAGCAACGTTATTTCATTCACCAGGTTTCGATGGCTGGGCCACGTGTTGTGCAAACCGCCACGCTGATTCCTGTGACGTCACTCGCTTGCGTGACCGAGGTCTGGATGGAGAAAGAGGAAAGAGTAGCCGATCACTGGGCCATTAATGACGAAGGCTGTCACTCCAAAGTTGACCTATGCTGGTCTCTCCGGAGTCTGATTGAGAATCCAGGGACCATCGGCATGTGTGGCTGGATACACTTGTTGACATGACGAAGAGCCGACCACAATGGTGCTTGTACTGTTATATTCTTCGTCCTTCCCTCTCTAGCTTGGCGTCTCTTTAGAGACCTCATGCCAGAAGGATAGTAAGAACAAGACATAATAGAACGCTTCATTTCACTTATTTTACTATTAGCTAATTTGGGATGTATTACTGCATAACCGAGCTGTGATTCCAACATCTATTGAATGGTAATGATGTAACACTGTGCTAACCCTAAGTGAATAGGAAAATTGCAAGCTACACAGCCAAGTTCCGCGTGAAATTTCGAAATATAATTCAACTAATTCAGAAGCGCTGTAAGGTGGACCAATATTTTTGGTACTTTCCTTTGTACTGCTGGAGCTAGACTGATACCACTGGGGCCGGTACAAACACTAGGATTAACCAGTTCCAATGTTGCCGCCATAAGCGTTTCACTACAGCTGACTGAGATAATCCTCTTCTTCCACACGCGCACAAAATTATCACTCGGTTCCATACTAGATGTTTTATCACCGGTCATCAGTCGCGCAGCCACAAGAAAAACAAGACGAAAAATACTACAACGTTTACAAGGTCGAAACGCTTTTCAAACCTTGGATACGAATAGAAAGTATGTATTCACTTGTTAGGACTTGGACTGCATTGCTTGAGTAGAAGACAGCTCAAATACTTGAGTCAAAACCTAACTGTACGCGAAGGTAATCTGCTCAACGGGCTCGAAAAGTCGAGTGGCATTATTTCCATACCCCGGCACTTACAATTACGCACGCGTACATGACTAAAGCCAACAGCATGGCAGGATGCGCCTTCAGCAGCATGGGGATGGTAGTTAGTTAGGTCGTAGGCAGCAACCTGGAGCGAACAGCTTTTATTACCACCCTATGTGTTTGCTTTAAAAGACTTGTTAAACAGGGTTTGGGCAGACAGAGGTCGATGCAAGCAGAAACGGCCGGTGAGAATTCAGCATTTGAAATCAGAACGAGGAATGTGGTTCCAGTAGCGGAAGTAGAATATCAGTAAGAGCAGTTTAGTAACCACGTGAACTCTGAGCACCAGAATCTGAGAGGCGGAAAATAGTAACCTCTCGGATCGCTGCTGTAAGGCACCTGGACTTAATTCTGCCAGAGCAATTGGACTATGTAACTCGATATGCAAACAGCGATAAGATGGTGATGAGCATTCAATCAAGTAAGGCGTATGTACGCAACAGCCATAGAATGCTGTGTGTTACATAACATGCGACGTTGAAAAGCATAAGGCAAGGATAGCATTACAGAAAAATACTTTCTAAAATGGCTTCGCTAAGTCGGTAGGTTCTTCAGAGCTATCATCAGAACTGTGAAGTATGGAAACCGATCGAACGAGCATCAACTGTAAGTCAGATTGGTGCAGTACGAATTAATAATGTTGGCTTTATGGATGAATTTAAAGTTGAAAAGGATAATATAAAACCAACATTGTTCAATTTATATAACTTATTACTGTCCCGCTGCTCTTTTAGATGTGGTACCGCCGATACAGTCCTAGTCTCACGGAGTACCCCAACGAGGGTGTCAGACCAGGACACAAGCGCGACGCCTTCATGATCGGCTTTTTCCCTCTGGTCCGCAACGGAGAAATGTTCGTCGATGTGACCGAACTCGGATACGACTACGACAGGCCAGAATCAGTGGGAAATTACGCAAACAACGGCGAGCCGCCTGTATTTCAATAACTTAGTTATGCTAATATCCGACAGCTAATCGCGTTGATTAATAAACACTGTGGACGGGGAACGAGATTACGAAGACAACAGCTAGTGATTACTATAGAGTATAGCAGAGCTAATAGTGTATCAGTTCAATACGTCCCTTTTTCGCAACCCACTACGGGAGTGAACTCCGAAATGAAGTCTCCGTCTAGAAATAGGACATACCTAAAGATGACGAAAAATGTCCTAGAGTGCAGCCTTAGAAACAAGTAACACCTCAAACGACTCTGTTCCTCGATTTAACTACAGTTTCTTATAATTCGGTAGTGGGCGATAGGTAGTTAGCTATTAGAACAAAACACAACTGACTCATTAGAATCCGAGAGGGTAGTCCAGTCAAGATATGTAACCATGTTACACGCGTCTTGATCACATCCCTGTGACAGTCAAATAAAGGATTAGACAGCTGTTTTAGGAAACACGGTAGGATCAACAGTGGGAGTAATAAAACAAATGCAAGAAATCTATCGATCTGCGGCGTGTATCGTGGTGTGTGTGTGTGAGAGAGGAATGGAAATTAGTGGGGTCAACCCACGCAGGACAAAGTCACACACTTTCGGTATGATTTTTCATGCCATTTGACTGGTCATCTGGCACCCCGAGCCGCAAAGCTGTGTCAAGACAAACAGCAAATGCCAGGGCAGATGGCTGTTAGACATATGAAAAACTGGACGCAATAGTAACACCCGATTTGATAGCTGGGAAAAAATGCAACTAACTGAGCGCCGTTTTCACTCATACTAAACGACAGTTCAAGTAAACGATGAATCGACCAGACCCACAGAGTAAGGTATGTGGTGGAAACGATTACACAGCTCACCCACACAGCAAATTCAGATGTGAGACACACTGGTTTAACAGCACTTAAACAGAGCCAAAGCACCGGAGTGGACCCACCGAATATTCCGTCGGTATCGATTAGATGGTACTGCTTGGGGAGCAATTTCACAAACGGTGGATGCCAAGCGCTGCCGGCTTTGTAGTTGCAGATCGGAAAAGCGACGGAAGGCGAGACAAAAACACGAACATGACTGAGGGGCGGAGAGAAGTGGTGAATTTATTACGATAATTGAGAAAATACGCGCAAACTTCCTGTGCGAGGTGGACACTAGGTACAAATCCAACAGTGAATGGAACAGGATAGAAGGAATTATTACAGGGTCATTTTGATGTACATGTTGTGCTATTTGGTTGTTATATGCAATCTCAGTGTAGACCATGAATGGGATTGAAATGAATCTTGGTCAATGTGATCACTAAGACCGTCGCTAAGGGACCAGTAGCAACTTAGGTATTGCCCATCCGAAAACCCTGCACTTCACTGGCCTTTTGATCTCATCAGGTAGATATAACTGGCCTCAAACTCCCGGGAACATTGGGATGTTAATTGGAACATCAATCCATTTAGCCACCACGTCACGACGGGTAACGCTTGGCAAAACGGTTACTGACTGATTGCAGTATCATTTCGAGCTATTATTTGTGTGATTGGATTGGGACGCGTACTTTCACAACAAGTCGAAACAAGTGGGTCCATGAATTCGAACGTATCCTGGTGTGTCAGTTAGGCGTCATCAGATTGGTGCAGATCGAATGCCGCCAAGGTCGTGAACCATCATTCCATAGGGACATTCGCTTATCATATTCTGATCCCTAAGTGAAGGAGAAATAACTCATTAATAACCAATGTGACCAAAAGGGTAATCGATCTCAGCACTAGCAAGATGAAAGCAGCATACAGGTGCTCCGTGAAAGCACGATCATGAGTAGAAGAAAGACAAATATAGCTAGGGATACTTGAGAAAGTAAAGATAAACGGCTAATCAGAATAAACAGTTGACGTTCCTATCGAACTATGTAATCGTTAAATCACGCCAGTGTGAAGAGAAATGGCGCAGTTGCTAGACATCTTTAAGAATTATACCGCGGCATCTCACAGGCAAATCTGAGTCACGTGAAACTGTGATAACACATTAGGTATGAGTGTGGAGCCGAAACTGATGAGGACAGCTCACTGTTCCCTAAAGAATAAGTCCACTCACGTAGTGTAGTGCATTACGTCCAACATGGAAAACGATATGGACAATTGACTGCTGGTTTTTACTCAGGGACAACTGCCAGACCTTAGCTACGCTTCAACCGGCTAAATGGAGAGAACAAACTGAACAACAGGTAACCATGTGGACTGCCGACTAAGTGCATCGATAACCCTAACATAGCTGGATTTATAAGCCGAATAAGTGCGACACGCTTATTAACACTGTCGAGTAGCGCAATATACATTCAGCGATTTCGAATTCAATACTGTGGACCAGATAACTAAATAGGGTAAGACTAAAGAATCTGGCGAAACCGCAGAAACCAGCTCGTCCTAGGCACCTATTCTGCGAACTGTTGATGAGGTAAGCACACAATAGTTTATTCAATAGCCACAGGCATGCATTTCAAAACAAGCGGTGGTGATTACTGCCGAAAATACCTTTCCACAACCCGTAGTAGAGAGCGAAGCATAATCTTTGAGCACCGTAGGCGCTGGTGCATCCGATTAACATGTTAAGTGTACTAGCCATAAGATTTCCTTCGTTAGTCCCGCTTAGCGATGATGAGAAACAGCAATTCTCCAGAAAGCATAAGAATAAGCAAAGTAGTTTCCGCAAGGACCAGTGTCTGATGATGAAGACGTACCACTTAGCGTTTAAAGGAGTATGAGCAAGTTATAAGGAGAGTATGGAGAGAAGTGCGCATGGCCTTCTTCTGTATAATAAACATTCGTGGTAATCTGAAAGTCGGAAGCTAAGTGTTAACATGCCGACCGACTGAAAATATGAGGGTTGCGATGATTTCGAGCGATTGTGATCCCAGTAGCTAAAAATTGTTTGTGCTGGGGATGTGGGGACCACGGAACTTGTCAAGAGTTGCGACGAGGTGGCCACTTATGCGTTACTCACTACGGTAGCAATGCCAAAGTACACCGTTATGAACTATCGCAGAATGTTTGCGACGATTAACTAATAGGTTCCTGGGAAAGCATTTAAATGTAATGGACGATATGATCCGGGAGAAGTTCTGAAGAAAAACCATATATACAGACCCTTTGGTAGACGAAGTTGTGATTCATAAGGTAAGCTTCAACTCCACGTGAAAGTGACAAGCGTACAACTGTGACATTATCAGCCACGACATCGTGCACAAACATTCAGTGCACTCAGGCTCCATAATACCCTGAGGATCATGTGAGCAGTCGTATAAGCATTCAAACGGAACCACGTTTTTCATTTTGGTTTGAACAAGTCCCACACCCACATTCTTATTGCTGGAGGCTTTAATTTGAACGACATGGAAACTCCAGCAATCAAGGTTGCGCAGTTTAAAACCTGCTTGCAATAGCTAATGGCTAACCCCCCTCCGTACAACCACGTAACCTCTTCCACCAGATTTCCAACTGCTAATAAGCGGTCGAAGTACTCACGGTCGAGGGGATAGTTACAATTACGTCAGTGGGTTGTAGTGATCAGGTCACGCTAGTCTTTGACTATATATGCTATGCGGAATATCCTAAAAAGGAGGATGATAAAGTGCATACTGTCACGCACTATAGTATGTCAGCTACGCCTCTTAAGGATACATCGTGAACTTTCCTAACCGAATGCCCGCCGGATGTTGCCTGGGGAACGTTTACAAGGACCTTTGCACACTGGTAGCGCACGAATCGGAGCAGAAGTCCTTCCAAGGCAGAATAAAATATAAGTCAATTCAGAGGAGCCGAACAGGTAAATATATGTTATTTGAAGGAGATTTGTGAGTAGCGTAAGGTTCATAGACAGCAGAAGTCACGATTAAACTCCACACAATAATCTGCCTCGACGGGGAGCCGAATCCCGGTCCCACGAATTCCCAGTACGCTGCTCTACCAGTGAACTACCGAGGTCTGCGGATTGGGTGCGCAATTTAATACATGACTTCTGCTTGGTGCGCGACGTATTGCCAATGAGCTCACAGTATCTGTCCTGGTGTTACATATTGGCTGACTTCTACTTTCTACGAACCTTACGCTACTCACAGACTTCCTTCAAGCAATCTACCATCGCCCTTTGGACATCAGAAGTACAGTTACTTCGGTCCATTGGGAAGTGACGAGTGAGTGAACCAATCTGCAACATCAGGACAGATACTGTGAGCTCATTGGCAATACGTCGTGCACCGAGCAGAAGTCATGTATGAAATATATGTTCCTTAAGGATTTAGTATAGTGATCTCACAAGGACTGCCCGAATGCCGAACCCTGGACCGCATACGTGGCACAGCGTAAATTCTGTGTGAAGTTGACCCTCAAAGACCATGGGACGCAGTAGCAACTGTTAATGGAGCGAGTCTGCACGAACCATAACCTCTCATCCGGGCGCGTTAATGGCCTTTGTAACGTGAAGCGCAAAAGCACAGAACTGCTCACGGCTGATGGGTGCACGTGGTCAGCAATGGAAGCAATCGATCACTTTCGGTTTTACTACTCAACAGGTAACAAGCCCAAATATTTCCCTCCTTCCTATTACCCCACCGTCAAAGTTATCTAACAGAAGCATAAGTCGATTTGAAGAAACCGCTATCCATGTGTGCACACAGTCCATCAGCAATCGATAACATTCGACCATAGGTTTTGCAGACAGTAACCAGTGATCCAGCAGAGTCATTGCTCTTATTCTATCAGTGCCGTCTGGAAGAGAACAAAATTCTAACAATGTGGAAGCGAGGGGTCGTCATTTTTATCCACAATGTGGTCGCACTGACCCTACCAAGTACCTCCCGATGACGTTGCATCCTGTGCTTTCCAAATTTATGGAATCAATCATCGCAGATACGCTGATGCAGTATCTGGGAAACCACAAGTTATTAATTCCAGAGCAACATGGTTTTCATCAAAAGAACTCATGTGCTACCAACATATTAATTGTACGCAGTAGCTGGTCTGAACCAGTTGATGGTAAAGTAGGAGTCGATGTCATTTACCCGGAATCAGCAAAAGCGTTTGGTCGCTTAGACCACTGATTTTTCCTTCGAAAACTTTACAACAACGGCATTGGCGACCCCATCTTGTGTTGTA